AAAGACAAAAACAAAAGGCCATTAGCTTAGTAAAATTTCTCTCCACTTCTCGCGTGCAGACCACTTTTCTGGATCATACAGATGACGTTGCTTGCTTTATAGATTTTCCATTTAGATAATAGAAACTCTAGACCCTAACTTCTTTTATTTATTAGGCTGAATTTTTCTAATTGTAATGTCAAATTCTACATTTAGTTCAATGAAATTGAAGGACCACTTGTGAGGAGAGATCATTGCAGCTGCACCATTCTTTGTGAAAAATGGACAAATTTCATTTTCTTCGTACACATACTGGATTTAGTGTAACAGAAGAGGAAAGGGCATTAATCCAAGTTGCCATGTGAAATTACAAATATGGAAAAGTTTCAAAATATTGTATCTCTACGGGGCCGAACCAGAATAGCTAAATAGGGCTTATGATAAGACAATTTTCCCATGTTTCGGTATTTTTTGCCAAGCTTCTTTAGGCCTAAGGTATGGCATATGCCCAACCCTAAGCCTTTACGGTTCCACCTCTCATGTCTATATTAAAAGCTACCCCATTTACAAATTATAAAAATGCTGAAAAACCTCCACCAACTATATATATCCATATTTTGCTCCACAATAATTTTACTTTTCTAGGATTTTTTCTGCGCTCCTTGATCTATGAAACAAATGAGGAAACAAGTCACATTATTATTATTATTTTTTGAAAAATAATTGATATACTTTTTGGTTTAACACATTTTTCAATAATGCGAAGATTCAGTAACTATGGATACTAATATGAATAAACTGGTTCAACCAATAAAACATAATATAAATACAACAAATTTAGTCAATTCTTGCATGCTATATGTATGGTTATATTTTTAAATTTGTTTGTTTTTAATTTTATACTAAAAAGTAATAATTTTTTATGAGTGTGTTGTATAAGTATATTGAACCAAATAATGTATCAATCAGCAATCTGTGTCCTTTTTTTAAAAAAGAAAATATATAAAACATGAATTAACTTTTAGCTCAATTTCAAAGAAGCATATGAAAGTGCTAGAAGAAAGTTGAAAAAAGATCCATTGTATTGGCAGAAGAAATCCAGTTTATTCGTATTAATATGAGTATCCATAATTACTCTTTTGAATCTTTTTATCATTAACATAGGTGTCAAGATGGGGGGGGGTTCTTTTATTATTTATAGGTTTAACCGTCTAGGTGTTCTAGCCTAACGTATGAGATTAATTCTTCTTAGGTCGAGTTAAAGGCACGTCACTTGC